TTTTATATATTTATATATATTTAGGGTGTGTTTAATTTCACTATTATGTAATTTAATATTTAAAAGTACATTAAATTGATTTTAATTTATCAACTCCTAAATCAAATAATACTCATATTAATATTATAAATGAAATTAACTTTTATATATTTATATATATTTAGGGTGTGTTTAATTTCACTGTTTTAACAATTAATAAATATATTTATTTTCTGATGACTAATAAATATAATTATTGCACCTAACCCTTGGAATCAAGTGGCTTTCGATCACCTTAAGGTGCATCTTTTTCTTTTCTAAGCAAGTTTTGAGCTTGTCCCATGACATCTTGTTCAAAAAAAATAAATATGGTTATTTTCTGATGACTAATAAATATAGTTATTGCACCTGATTCTTCGGGTTAAGTGATTTTCGACCAACTTGAGGTACATCATCTTCTTCCCTGAACAGACTTCGAGCTCGTACCATGATATCTTGTTCAAAAAAAATAAATATAGTTATTAGTTTTATTAATTATTAGTTAGTTATTAATGTAATAATTGTTATTAATAGTTTATAAATTAATAATTTTAAATATCAAACTAATTATTTAAAAAAAAAAACTATACATCATTAAAATCAATCAAGCCAAGCACACTCTTAGCAATATTAACTCAAACATGGCATTGTAAATCAACAACAGATCATTTTGTATTAGTGAATCTCATCTCTAATTAAACTTCAGCTAAAAACCGCTTTTAAAAAAGCAATATAATAATGAAATGAGAAAATGGCTGAAAATTAAGCAAAAAGTAAAACTACCTTTTATTTCATGTAACTATTTACAATAACTAAAAGACTTAAATTTAAGAACTCGTGCAAACCACTTTAAAAGTTTTTGAGAGGAGAAAGGAAATGCACTGTTTTTTTTTTTTTTTTCTTCCATGCTAAGAAACAAGGACGATGAAAATTCAAATGCATCAAAAAGGAACTATGGACATTAGAAAAAAAAAAGAGTTTCTATAACTTGTATTGTAAAAATACATATTAAAGGTATTTAATAATATTGTTTACTTGTTAATTCTTATAATAAAACACGAAAGTTGACTTTATTTTTAATAACAATAACATATGTATAATTTTAATTTGATAATTAATAAATTTAAAATTAACTCTCTTTTTTTTCAAAATAATTAATAAAAAATAATTAATGCACTTAGAAGCACACAAGTTAGAAATACCTAAAAAAGTAAAGCATAATCATAGAAAAAGCACACTAAGAGAGAAAAGCTTCTTCATATAATGGTAGGATGTTGGTATTGATCAGAGACAAAAGCATAAAGATGAACCAACTTTAAGAAGGTGGGTATAATTGATGATGAAGCAAACTTTTGAATATGTTACTGATATAAAGCAAAAGCTTTTGAACCCTTCAAAATTAAGCTTTCTGATTGCTGATTGCTCCTCCCAAGTCCCCCCACCCATTATATTCTTTGGGCAGATTCTTGTTAATTATGAAAAGAGAAAGATGTTCAAGTTAATTACTCTTGAAATTATGTCTTTTTTTTATAAAAGTGCTAATAAAGTAATACACTATAACTTTGTTTCATAACGCTTTTCAGTATTTTAACTTCTAATTTTTAATTTTTATTATTTTAAAATATATAAAATAGTAATTGAAATAAATATTAAATATATTTTATATATTTTTAAAATATTAAAACATGTTAGAAAACCAACAGCTACTACAGAACAATACGCCCAAAGTTATAAGCCCACAGCAACAATTTCAGGTGAAGGTTTCGATTGTCTTTACAGCCTCTATTATGTTTTGCCTTTATAAAGTGCTGAAAGTATATTTGCATAAACAAACTAGAGGTATACAGTGACAGTGTTTCACTTTAAGAGACTTCAACAATATTTTAGAATATGGGACACAGGTGCAATTATTAAAGGATTGAGATTATAGAAAGTAATTGAGAATGGGACACTGGTGCAATGGTGTGGAATTTAGATCTCATACAGAATTTGATACTCTAAAATAGAGGGAATCAAATTCAAATTCAGAATTTGGAAAAACGATATTGTGCATTATTTAACTCATAATTTTAATGAAAAAGGAATGGTAATAACAACTCATCTATCATATGGCCAACCACACAGCACACACACACTGATTTGACCCCATGTCACCAGCTGGAGTAACTCTGAATTTGATCCAAAGAACAAAGATTCATAGACTCTATATTATATGGACTTAAAATAAAAAATCCAACTTATATACTGTTAAAATTAAAGAATTCAATAGCACTTGCGGCTTCGGCTGCGTTGGAAGTGCATCATCCCTTTGGCGTCTATGTCAAGGGTTTTAGCTGCAACTGCTGTAGCAATATTATACCTACTCTCCTATCTCTCAATTTCTCACTGATAAAAAAAAATAAAAATAAAAATAAAGAATTCAATAAGTATTTTTTTTATTAAATTTTAAAAATCTAACTTTAATTAAAGTGCAAAACAAAATTTCCCACTAATTAAGTCACAAAATGATATGGTACTTGCATGACCTGATCTCTCTGTCATAAGAGATTGCTCTTAAAGCAGAAATCCTTCTTAGATCCTCAAACTTATCTTCAAAGATATTTAAATTTTCAAACTAAAAATAAAATAAATACATTTTTTAACTCTCTTAATGATGCAAATAAATTATTTTATTTTGTTTAATATTACTTTGAAAGCATAAATACTCATAAATAAAAAAAATTTATTTGTATCATTAATAAAATTTAAAAACTTATTTAATTTATTTTTAATTTAAAAATTAAAATATTATTTAAAATAAATTTAGGGGTTTAAGAAAGGTTTCTCCATTACTTAACATCCGATTTGGGAGTTTGATTGGGAGCTTGCGACTATTGCAAAAAAAAGTTGCTTAGATAGAATTGAACGGCGCGCGCGAGAAACACGTGGGCAAAAGAGGAAAGTCACAAGGGTGGCAAGTGGCAACGGATCCAGAGCCTTCCACACGGGATCACAGCTGTCGCTTTTTTTCCATTTATGGAAGACAGCCCAGCCCAATTAGGAAATTATTTTTTTTATTAGAATTAGGCAATTAGAGTATTGAGCAAAACAAACCGTTGATCTCATTAGGAAAAAGAATCACAGCCTTGGATTCATTCCTAAAATATATAAATATAAAATTTCATCCATTAATTATTATAAAATTTAAAGACTAGCATTTATGATTTGAACTTATAAAAAGTTAAGATATAAAATATAAAAAAAGTATCAATTTATATCGCAAAAAAATTAAGTAAAAAAATTTAAAATAATGTTATTTTAATAAAATTTTATTAAAAAAA